GGGGCCGGGCGGGGGGTGAACAGGTGCAGTCCGAGCCGGCCTGGGCCTGGGCCGTTGGTCGCGTGCGCACCAACTCCACTCAACTCCATGCCATGCGACCTGCCTGGCCACTAAGGGGCACATCCTGAAGCGCCGTGCAAAAAGGGGCGAGGCCGGCGGGGACCGGGAGAGAGAGAGGGGGTGCGAGCGTGGGCAGTGCCACGCGCACGCCAGCTGCTGGAGTCGGGTTCCGAGTCTCGAATGGAGTTCATCAATCTATTTTCGAGCACAATAATTGCACACATGCATATGGTTTCGAGTGGCAATTGCTCTGCCGAACGTCGGTGGGCTGTTATCGGGGAGGGGGCGGAGAGAAGACAGGTGTGACCTGCACCTCAATGGTGGTGTTCGCGTGGCGGGGGACTGCAGCTCGCGGGGCGGGGCCGTGGCCACGCTGAGCCATGCTGTTGCACAGTGCAAGCAGGACCGAGCCACGCAGGGCCAGCAGGGGTTGAGCGAACCCGGGGGCGGGTCCTGGAGTAGCCGCTGGTACCGTTCAGGACACTCGGCGCGCTGCGCGTCGGCGGGGTGGCACCACCTCGCCAGGAAGTCACCGGCGGCAGGCGGCAGGGCTTGTCGCGGGAGAACGGAAAGGGCGGAGGTGCCGATGGTTGCAGTGGTTGAAGGGCTGCTGTAGAAGGATGAAGAGAAGGGGAGAGAATGGCAGTGAGTGAAAGGAGAGGTGCGGAGGAGGGGGAGGAGAGACGCGGCGCCCAGCCCGGCCCGGCCCGGCCCAACCCGTCCCGGTCGGCGCGTTGCGAGGGCGTGGCGGGGCGGGGCGGCGTTGGGCGGAGATGCGTGGCGCGCGGGGGGTGGCGCCGTGTGTGCTGCGATCAATACAGCAGCAACGCCGAGGCCGAGCATTGATCCTGCGCCGCCCCGCCCCACCCCCTGCAGCCCGGCCGCGCCCCACCACTTCCCACCCCCTGCAGCCCGGCCGCGCCCCGCCGCACCCGTCGCACCCCGCCCCACCCCGCCCCGCCAGGCCCCGCCGTGCGCAGCTCAGCCCGTCCCCAGGCCCCAGTGGTCCTCCCGCTACACCCTTCCTCTCCGCGCCCCGCCGGCCGGCCTGCGCTCCACTCAGCCTGCTCAGCTCGCTCAGCCCCGTGCCCCCACCGCCCCACCAGGTCCCGCGCGCCATCCCCACCACGACTCAGCTCGCGGGTCCTATCCGCAGCCCGCACAGCGCGTAGCGCCGCGTAGCACGCGGGGCGTGGCGGCGGGCGGGGCGGGGCGGAGCGAGTGGTTGGGTGGGGCGTTCGGTAGCGGAGAGGACTAGGGGCGCAGCGCGCCGCCACGGCTCAGCCCAGGAAGGGCTTGATGCTTGATGATGGTACCCGACCCTTGTTACCCGACAGTGCACTTCGAACAACGTCAAGCGCTTCGGGAAAGGGGGCGGAAAAGTCCACTCACTCTTCGGGCCTTACTGCAGGCCTGCGTAGCTCTGAGCAGCTCTGGAGCCTAGCTGGATGGCGTGGACCCCATTGAGCACTGCCTCTCTCAGCTACCCACGACTAGTTTCACAGGGGCCGTTAGGTTCGTGCTGGGCTGGGTCTCGGCGTGCCATGCCATGGGGTCTGCCCCGCCCCGCTGTACGTCGCCTCGCCCCGCTCGCGGCTGTGAGCTGCCGTGGGACCGCGAGGCGGAGCGCATCGCGAGACAATCCTAACATTTTGCTAATTGGCAGCAAGTCTGCTGGGCTTGGCAAGACACCGTCCCAACAGGGTGGGTAGGGCAGGGCTAGGCTGGCCGCCAGTCACTGAAATCGACTGTCTGACGGGGGCGTGGGGAAGACTCCCTGATCGGGGCCGGCTGCCGGCGAGAAAGCGCCGGGTGTGGTCCAACGGCAGCGGTTCGGTTGGGCCGATGGTCGGGGCTGACTACGCTTACATGACATGCTCTTCATATCACGTGTGCTTGCGCCCTTCCACCCACTTCCCGCCCCACTACTCCCCTCTCTGCTTCTCGCTGGTTATCATCAGTTCTGTTATTTTGCGTGTTTCAGGATGCAAGAAAGCAAGCATGCGACACTACATTGGTCCAGGCTACCAGCACAATGGAGCCTATCGGCCGAATACAAATGCGCACTCGGCGCACCCTTCGAGGTCACCTTGCCAAGATTTATGCCATGCATTGGGGCTCAGACTCTAGGTATGCACTTCAAGATGAATGAAGTTGGGTCTCTATTTCATTTTGTGCTCTGTGTCTTCTGATTAATTTACTGTATAATATTATGTTTCAGGAACCTAGTCTCTGCTTCTCAAGATGGCAAGCTTATAGTATGGGACAGTTACACCACTAACAAAGTGCATGCTATTCCTCTTCGCTCAAGTTGGGTTATGACATGCGCCTATGCACCATCTGGGTTTTTTGTAGCCTGTGGTGGTCTTGACAACATTTGCTCTATTTACAGGTAATTATTTCAATTTTCCCAATTTAAGAATGACAGTTCTTAGTTTTTAAATGACATATTTGTAACTACTTACTTTATTTGTTTTTATCTTCAGCCTGAAAACAAGAGAAGGAAATGTACGAGTGAGCCGAGAACTCCCTGGACACACAGGTTATTTGTCATGCTGTCGCTTTTTAGATGACAACCAAATTGTTACAAGCTCTGGAGATATGTCTTGGTAAGTTTCTGTGAGCTGTCAACATGTGAGAAGACTCAAACTACTTTTTACCATTAATTGTTTTAATTATTTTTTTCTTGTTTTAGTGCACTATGGGACATAGAAACCGGCCAACAGTATACATCATTCATTGGTCACACAGGTGACGTAATGTCACTTTCACTCTCACCAGACATGCGAACATTTGTTTCAGGAGCATGTGATGCCTCAGCAAAGGTAAAGTATTAGAATTGTATGAGTGTGTGCTTGTGAACATTGCTTTAAATATCAAGTGCTAAAATTGATTTTTATTTCAGCTGTGGGATATTCGGGAAGGTTCCTGCAAACAAACTTTCCCTGGTCATGAATCTGATATCAATGCAGTTACGGTAAGCAACTATTTTTGGTCTTCACTAGCACTCCTATACTCATGGGACCTATACTTATTCTAATTAATGCTTGTTTGTCTTCTGTCTTCAGTTCTTCCCGAATGGTTACGCATTTGCCACAGGCTCAGATGACGCAACTTGCCGTTTGTTTGATATCCGTTCAGATCAAGAACTAGCCATGTATTCACACGACAACATCATTTGTGGTATTACATCTGTTGCATTCTCTAAGTCAGGACGCCTCCTATTGGCTGGATATGATGATTTCAACTGCAATGTGTGGGATTCTATGAAGACAGAACGAGCGGGTGAGTAAATTAAATTGTAATTTTTTTTTATTC